CTAGTTTGACCTATGTGGTTGACCTCACTCACAGTGATTGCAGGGTATTTTGTAAATTATATTATTTTGTTTAATTGGATACCCCGGGTCTTTTAGCCTACAAAGCTTGTCTCTGAGTGAGTTTGTAGGTTTGAATGGCACCCTACTTCCTGCTTTATTTAGAATCCTACGTAAGGTAAGAATGGTTAACCCCGAGAAGATAAGTAATTTGGAAAAAAGCTCAGCTATTGCACTACATGCAATAACGCACAACCACACAATAGTGTGGGAGAGGGTTAAGATTCTAAGAAGTAATCTATGTAGGTGGAGACAGATATAGAGATTGATTACTGAATCCTGGTTCATCGAATAATCTACACCAAACACATGCAACAGAAATGACTCAATGCAAATACCATAAATATGGAAGATATTATTACCACCAGTCAAATCAGAAGAGGATAATAAATAATCTCAAAATTCTATTTCAATTCAAGCAAATCACAACATTCTAACAATTTACTTATTTTGACTATAAGAACATTCGTCTTATTTCCCATCTAATTGTATTTGATCAATAACGCTCATATTATTATCTCTGAATGTACATTATCCCATATTGATTTTTATTCAAATATCTAGTGAATTCCATACATATATATAAATGAAGGAAAAAGTTGTGTGAGTAACTTGATATGATTATGAGCAATAATTTGTGCTCGAAACGTCATCAGTTAATATTACTGTGTAACACTGTGTGATTTATCAAAATAAAATCTTATTCATAATGGTGTGACTGGTTGATTGATTGGTTGATCTCTAACACCAAATGTGTTTGTTCAAGTTTTAACACGCTTTGCAAAAGTAAACAAAAAGTTTTGGATGGTATATTGATCTAAATGATCCGTGTTGTGATTGTAATGAGAAGAAGTGTTTCTTATGAAAAGTGATGGTCAACAGACTTCATCAGTTCCAATGAATTGTCTCAGATTTCCATAGAATAGCTAGTGCCTTGGTAGTTCTAGCCACACCTGAGGAGTGAAATCTTTGGGGGTCCTACAGCTTTCTGTCATTTTAGACTAGTGGCAGCTTCTACAACCTGGCCTACAGCTGTAAGCCAGACGAACTGCTGCACAAACTATTTTCGTAAATATTCCAGTCATCATTCGGGGAACTTGTCGAGCTTTCATCCTCCTGAGAGATAGTTTCGCTTACAATAGCTTTAAAGGGGGTCTGATTTTTCAGGTGTGAGTTCGCAGGAATTTGTTTGATATATTAAGTTTGAGAACCATTAAAAACCATGACGTGCTTGAAAAGGTGTTTCGTCCTAGTTTAAGGCTGTCTGGGAGTGCACACCAATGATCCAAACGGGGGTCGAACGCAAGACCATGAGGTTGCAGGCCGAGCCCGTTGACCATTCAGTCACTGAAAGAGAATCTAGTGGTGCGTCAGTTTTAACTTCGGCAAATTCACAACTTATGGCGTGAATGCCACCCTATGTTATTGGTGAGTATCCGTCCTCGTGCCCAACTTGATGGACTCTGTTGGTCTTCATCTCTCACCAGAAGTTTTCTAACTAAGGCCAGTTCGTGACCAAACCGGAAACCAATCAATTCCTTGAAAACCAACACTCTAAAATTAATCTGGCGCTCACTAGTGACTAACGGCTACAGAATGAAGTTACTTTAAGGTCTAATGGGAATTCGTGACTAGCTGGGTTCATCAAGTTGGGCGTGAGGCCGGATACTAACCAATGGCACTGGCTGGCATTCGTGCTGCATATCGTGAATCCGCAGAATTTAGAAGTGATGGGTCATTGGATTCCATCTCATGGTTTGGTTTTTGAATAGACTTAGGTAGTTGTGGCATGTACTGCCTGTTCGTAGATATCTGTCTTTCCATCATTTTCGTAGCCCACTGGGACAAATCTCCATTCCTCCATTAATTCAAGTCAAGCTTTATAGGTTCACTCGCCTCAACTAATCTTTTATTGAAGTTTATCGACTTCCTTCACTACTATTCACACAGAAGGCTATGTGTTTTACGGACGAAATATTTTATGAATCACGATCAGACGAAAAGCCAGTAAAAGTAAAGAACTCATTGCATCTTTCTTTTTTCCTTGTTAGAGGAAATTCGACAGTACGAACTCTCTACCGCAAAGTAATTTGAGCTTAGTGTCCTCAGATTTCGAAGTGACGGAGTTACTACTAATATAGACGTTCTGTACACGTTGACTTTCAATAACTCATTAGTTGATTTAGTTTTCAAGTGTCAGTTTGTAGGGATTTGATTGGTTACAGGATTTTCATCATGAATTGACATTGGTTAGAAAACCATTGGAAAACCTGGGAGTAATGGACAGTTGTTTCATCCTAGTTTGGGACTCTTCAGCAGTACGCACCCACCGCCAGGGTTCGAACCCAGGACCTTCTGTTTACAAGGCGAGCTCATAGACCATTAAGCCACTGGGACCCGATCCAATGGCCAGTCCAAGAATTGTAACTTCTGGCAATTCACGACACAATTCACGATTTAGTTTTGTCAATGCATTAAACTTGAAGTCGTTCAATAATTTGAAAACTGAAGAAGTAAAAAATGCACAAGTTTGTGGAATTATCCTTTCGAACCAACTTAATAGAATAAACTTTGAATTTCAAGTTTTTTATGTAAATATTCCTTCAATATCATGGAGACTAGGAGATTAACGGCAACAAAGTCTCTCAAGCTTATGACTAACCTATTTCAGACGTTCAGTTATTGACGATGACCATCATACTGGAAAGATAAACTGGTTTCCATCCATCGGCCTATTCGCATAGTGCATACAAAGATACATAATATTCATTTATTCTTAATAAATTAGGAGGTGCAACGATTCAGATTACATACTCCTGACAATCAATGGAATGATCTGTTTCAAGTCACGACCAGAAATTTCTTAAACTTTTCGGTTTATAGTTATACTACTTATTAGTAATTAAAGAAATTCGCTACAATAAATAATGCTAATAATACATAAAATGATGTCAAATATATAAACAACTGAGGTATTAAGGAAAACTGAAAACTTTTAAAAATATAAAAGTAGCTATAAAGCATCTTTCTCAACACTGACTAAAACATTCAGTAGAAAAAATTCACTATGAGCACTTTTCACGTATACTTTTAAGTAGGCGAAACAATGAATATCTATTCATAACGCGTATGAACGAAGTTGAGAAAGAAAACTTCATCTCATCGACGATTTACTATTTAACCTACTTACCAAATGGGACTCCACCCAGCCACTTAGGGTGTTATCCAGTAGCCTATTAATTAAGAAGGCACTCTTAACTTTTATTTCACATGCACTAATTACTGATTGAAAATTTTTCATATTGAGTCGTTGATAAAAGAAGACGTAAATAGTAAAGAAAATTGTCTTTCCAACAAAAACCAATTATTTCTGAGTGCTTTTACCATCAGGAAAACAGTTTCATTCGGGGAGTAGTCAAAAAATCTACGAGACGTTAGAAAACTTTCTTCTCATGTTTGCTGACTGATAGCTTGAATGCTGAGAGATTAAACATAGAACCGTTTGACTCTGTCAAAGTTTAACTGAAACACGACGTGTGCCAACTAGCACAAAACCTATGCCAGGTAGGGTTTCCTGTTGTTTACCTCTAACTAACTAATATCAACAACTCAAAGTGGACCATAATGGTGAGCCACCTAGAATGTTGGCCTCATTGCAAACTTGATGGACAGAATTCAGTCCGCACCAAACAAAAGAAGAGACACACTACACTAGTCACTGGCTAGTGTCCATTCAAAAGTATTTAATACAGTCCTACAGGAGGTCAATCATGAGTCCGAATAGCTCAGTCGTAACGTCTCCAACTGCAGCACTAGGTGAGGCGGCTTCGAATCCCAGAAGGGATATGAGTTCCTTCGGGATTGTAGACACGCCTTTCTGATGAATGCCAACTAGCACGAAACCTAGCTCGACATGGCTTCTTGCCGATCACCTCCAACCATCCGACAGAAGCATAACTTTACACACTTAGATTTTTATCCCTAACACAAGACAGAAGAGCAGTAAAATTGACTGGGCAAGTGATGAAGCCAAAGTTGAAAGAATTCTAAAAAATATATAATGAATAAATAATCGAAGGGCAGTCAGATTCCCTTCTCTGATATACTCATTAGTTTTAGATCCTTCTGACTGGGAGTAAAAGAATTTCTTTTAATCCTTCAATAGTCATTAAAATCAGGTGACAATGTTCGTGTGCAATTTATTAGAAACACTTTGTAAAATTCTCATACTGTCTGTCGTAATGTTCGGTGTGCTACTGATAAAATTTATCAGTAGTATATATAAAAAAAGATGTTCATCGGCCTAAAAAACATCAAATGGCAGCGATATACAATTGATGTCACAGCGTTGCGGAGATACATGGGAAAAATGAAAGGAACACAAAGAAAGAGATGCAATATGAAGGCCAGGAGGAAGTGGCACAACACGGAAGATCTATTCAAATGTTGCGTTGAAGATAAGGTGTGCATAATTTGATTATATAGAGATACCCAATTATCAAGTCTCTCCTCTTTTAACGTTACAATAGTGCTTAGCAAATACACCATTTTAATATGGCTAACGAAAATTAGATCAACAATCCTATTTAAGGACTCTTCAGTAGTACGCACCCACTGGGGTTCGAACCCAGAACCTTCTGGTTACAAGTTCTGGTTACGATCTTGCCTTGTAGGTCCTGGGTTTGAACCCCAGTGGGTGCGTACTGATGAAGAGTTCCAAAGTAGGACGAAACAGCTGTCCAGTACTCCCAGCTGGTTTTCCAGTGGTTCTGTAACTGATGTCAGCTCATGATGAAATACTTCATGCAATCAAACAATATCCCTACAAAACCAATACTTGAAAACCCTATTTAAGTCAAATATTCCCCAAAAACGAATTTCTATTTATTTCATTAAAGTGTATCAATCGTCTAATGGAAAATATATTTTCTGTCTTTTTTCAGCTGCCTTAACACGTGAAATCCTGATTGTTGGCGCGGTTATCATTGTGTTCATTTCAGTTATAGTGAATGTGTTCTGCTGTATTCGATGTGCACTGATTCGACAGTATTCGAGTAAGTCATTAAAATTTATTTAAAAAAAAATATAAACTCTCTTTAAGCGAAATCTGATGTTTATAAACACATACAGTGCATTGATAAGTCTATTGGGGAATTACCAGTATATCGTGTTCTTAATGTTGGTGACGACAGAATTCTGTCAGTCAAGTGTTCAATGTTGTCACCAACTTCGATGGTAACTTGTCACATCACCTTGCATTTTGGAAGTAATTGGCAAGGTTTTATGCTTGTTGGCAGTCCTGAGTAAGACATATCTGTAATTTCTCAGGAATTCATTCACTTTTATAGGAGGTAATTGGTGATGCGAATAGGGCCAAGTTAGACTCTAAGCAACAATAGCTACCAATCAGTGAATGACTTTGAATGATCCAATGAATTTCATCCACTTGAGTTGAAGGTTCTGTTCCGCGTGATTCGAGCCGAATGTCAGGGTAGGTAAACTGGAAATTCTAATATTTCGTAGGAACATTTTTTGTCCTCAACCCAGATTTTGAATATTTGTAGTTACTGGGTTTTAAAACAGCCTGTGACAGGTGTAGCAGCTGTTGAAACACAGAATATAGTCTCCTATGAACAGTTCAGTGGTACCAGCACTGCAGAGATATCGTATCATGAAAAATGGAGAGTATCACTTCGTTATTAGGAGGAGAAGGTGTCATCGTACACGTGGATGAGTGGAGAGGTTATAACTCCGTTTCATCCCTTGAATATATTCACTACAAAGCGAACCATCCTAATGATTTTATGGATCCCATTACAGAGGTACACATCAGTTCTATAGAAGGCTTTCGGGGGAGATTAAAAATACAGGAGTAGGGCCAATAATGGATCTGATAAGGATGTCTTTTATAGTCATTTAGATGAATATATGTATAGAATGTGGTGTAGCTTTCCAAATGATAGTCCTGTGCTAAACTGGGAGTTGTTTTTACCATATGTCAGGGAACGGTATTCTATGCAAAGTTTTTATGTATTTTTTTCATAAATATATGTTTTCCATGAACCAAAATGCCTCCTTTATGTTATTGATACGTTCAAGGTCATTCGCTGATTGGTAGTTTGTGGTGCTTAAAGTTTAACACGACACTAATTTGCACTGTTGCGTGTTTCTGCTATATGTACAAGATGTTATCAGTCAGTGAATAGGAGGTTTTGAGTGAATTACCAATCAACTCACTGACTTCTGTACTCAGAAGGTATTATATTTTGGAGACACGTTGAGTGGAAATAGGGACGCCGAGCTGTTGACAGACATGGTAATCGCGAATATTGCTTGTCTATGCCTACAAGGTATACAACAACTAACTGATCTTTCAGACCGCAACTTAGGCGACAGCACACCAAAGGGGAGACTGAAAGTAGGTATATTTACGCAACTCAGAAAATCATCAGAGATATATCAATTAGTCTGTAATCATATTCAATAAAATAGTGGGCGTAGTTTATATAGGCCGATTCTGATTGGTTTATTTCCAGACTGGAAATTGATCACCATATCAAAAAGTTATTTTTTATTTTCATTTTAAACATAACTAAATCAAAATCATCCTCCTGAGCTATAAATCCTCTTTATTATTTCAAAGTCATTTTGTATACTTGGGAGGAAATTGAATTCACTCTAAGATGGGGAATGCGCCTTACTTATTATTGCTGACAAACACCAGACCAGTTAAGGTGGTTTTTGTTTTCGTAATGCGTCGAAGAATAAAAACTTCTTATTTTCTTCCGAAAAGTAAACGCTTTACTTAGATGCAGGTTAATTATTCATGAGTAATTCCCATTCGAGTATTAATAAAAAGAAAACAAGTAGGTTAGAGAAGAGTCTATTTTCGCTGAATTTACTTTCTTTAGCTATACAACCACATTTGTTTACTTTTTTCTCGTAAACGTGAATAGTAAGAAAGAGATGAATCATTATAAGACATATTGATGGATGAACTTCGACATATACATTCAGTTTTATTAGCTAATGGTTATCCAGAAAACTTTATCGATCGTCACAGTAAGGATAGATCAAATCTAGAAAAGACAACTTCTGTACCAAAGAAAGCTATCTTTATTAACCTACTACAATTCAAGGGTGACCAGATTATGCAGTTGACAGCTAGCTCAAAGACTTCAGTCAGCCATCAAGCGCACATTCTATACCGCATCTCTTTCCCTCACATCTCGAACATTTTCGATCTCTGTATCTACGATTAACGGAAGAAATTCTGTGGACTCTACTTCAAACTGTATCTACAAGTTCACCTGTAGTTGCGGTGATCACCTACACATATATAGGTAGAACCAATAGAATGTCCCAAAATGGTTATTAAGATACATAGAAAATCCCAATGCAATTAATCTGAATAGAATTCCATCATCGTCCATTGCAAAGCACTTATTAGTGCCAGGTTACAAAATCAGTATTAATGACTGCTTCGCAATTATTTCACCACATAACTCTAATTCAAGGTTGGTTATTAAAGGTGATGGAAGCACTTTGGGGATTAATCACATACATCCTAAACTATATGTGAAAAAACAATAGACTTCAATCTTCGACTACCATGGATTACTTGACCTATCTGAATTTGATTGGTCATTAGTATGTACTTTTGTTTTTTATATAACAATTGAATAATTGTCATGCATTCTATTTTATTGTATTATTGTGAGCCATGTTAGTTGTAAAACGGTTGTAAAGAAACTACGAAATGACGATATCATCTCGCGGCGAAATTTGTCTTCTAAATGCCTTATTTAAATTTATCAAAGGGACTAGTTGTTTTAATAAGCATAGTTGCTAATATTAGTGAATAGATTTGAAAAGTTGAATAAGGGTTATAGCACTACATAGCGAGGTAAATAACTAAAATAAGTGAGTTATAGTCAGGGTACACACAGAAACAAAGAAAATTTTATGTTGCCTAAGATTTCAAAAGAACAAATGAGTCAGAAATGGTCTGAGAAATAAATATAACAGATTGAAAATAATGAGATCCTTGTCGTGAAGATAGAATTGGATGAAAGGTTTTCTATTTAGTGCACACCTCCAGTTTCTCCATCTGTATAGCTAGAGCTTCAGCAGTATAAGGCAGGCAAAAGTGGGTTGTTTTAGGCAGGTTACTTTTCACTTGGTACATCACTTTGAAGAAGGATTTCGTTGAGATAGAGTGGTTGGTGTCTACAAGAAGTGCAATTATCTCATTTTTATTTTTTAATCTTTCCTCTTATTGAACTCAGTTGCCGTGTTTTATTCACTCATCGACTGATGTAGTCATTCCTCTTTTTCTGTGTGTATCACTTCTTTTTTCAGAAACAAAAGATCGTGTTCACATGCAACATTTATTCTGTATGGCTGAAGAGATACGTAATGCTCGTATAGTGAAACAGATCAATGGAAAAGGTCGTAGTTATCGTGATCGATTGGAGAGTCATCAAAGTCCACATTACCAACAACAACAACAACAGCAGCAGCAGCAGTTACGCCTAACCAATTTACTTCATGATGGCAGTACCCCAGGCGGTGGTAGTAGTCTTCTGATGATGAATAAAATTCAACCACAAGTCAACGGTTATGAATCTTATCAACCTTCTGTAGACTATGGGTCAGAATATGTAACCAGTCTGAATTGTCCAGTCGTAGGTTATAGTGATAATCAATCCTCTGGTCTACCGGCAGATATAAATCTACGTTACCTACCTGATGGTAAGTCAGGGAATCGACAGTCAATGTCTGCTTTCTCTTTAGTCCATGGTCAGTTACCAATGATATGGCCCAATGGCAACAACAACAACAACATTTCTAGTGACTTACATCGTCGGTCAATTTCCAGTGTACAAAGAGGCGGTGGGAATTCTATCTCATCACATGCATCACAACAACAAATTGCTGCAGCTGTTACCAATTTCTACTTACAACATCAACAACACTTTATGGAGCTACAGAATCATTTGAATAATACCACAGCAGAGACGAGTACAGTCAATCAAATTGGCTCAGAGGGTATGGGTTCGTGTTTCGGTAGTATTGGTCAACCGGATTCAAGTATTCTCTCTGACTTGAATGTAATCCCGACGAATTCTGGTGGGCCAGACAGTGGTAACGGTGATTCCATAATCACATCAAACTTAGTTAATAATAATAATTCTCCAGTGACCATGAACAGGAGCAATGGTAATAATAATAATAATAACAGTAATAATGTGTTTCTAAAGGGTAAATCATCTCCATCACGTACCTCTATAACTACAGTGAATAACCAATCAAATTATTTGATTTCAACTGATCATACATTTAATCCAACCAATCAAATTTCAGCAAATTTTAGAAATGTATCACCTATTGTCAATCGATCTCAACCGATTGGATCATCCCAGTCTCAGTTAGCTGTACTGATGAATAAGCTGAACTATACAAATTCTTCGAATCCACAAATACTGCCCAATATGTGTACTAATGCATCGACACCTGTTGGAACATTGAACTCACAATCTGACAGTGGAGCAGGTTCAGGTAGTGGAAAAGTGTCTATTGATTCATCAGAGAATCGGATAAATCCGTCAAAAAATGACTATGTTATTTATAATCCATCTGATATGCAGGTGGTCGATAATAAATAACCAGCATAGATATTATTATTATTACTACTACTGAAATCTGTCTCCTGTATGAAGACTAAAGACAATGAACATTCTGCTTTTATACTATCGAATCAATAATATCACAGTATTATCTTGCCTTGAAATGACTATTCATTTTCGACCGATCAGTGTGTCTTGTTTAAATGAACTAAATTACCGATATATACTAGTCAAAATTTTCGCCTTTCGAATGATTATATACATTCAAACAAATAAAAGAAGAATAGAAACTAATATCATTTTTATATTTATTTAAAAAACTTTTCTAAGCAATAATTTTTCATAAATTATTTGAAAATAAAATTTCTTATATCAAAAACTAAAAATGCAACGAGCACCATGAATACTTACATGTTTACTGACAATATTTATTTAACTCATTATATATTCCTGAATATCTAAATAAGTAATTTATTTCGTTCCTTTTTTATCAGAAGTATTCAGACAATTGTGTTAATTGCTTAAATTCTGTTATTACATAATTGGCTGACTCTCTCTTCCTCTCTATCACTATACTTCGCTGAGTTTAGGTTTTCTAAACAGCGAATTTCAGAAAGGGTATTCTATGTATCCAACAACGGTACTTTATAAAGCTGTTTTTCTAAACATCTGACAAATTCAGACGATGTAATATGTAATTATTTATAGAAATAAGTATAAATAAAAATGACTGTTATTGAAAAGTGGTTATAGTAGTAGTCTCTTTTCTCCAACTTGTAATATAATATATTCACTTCAATTTTTTTTGAACTAGCAGTGGTAACGGCAGATTTTCTCAGAGTGGGCAATATATTTGTTAAATTCGTTCAAAGAGTCTAAAATATGCTGATGAATATTGGAAATGTGGATGAAACGACTAGATGTCAGTTACGCTGGCTTCAAGATTATTTAGAGGCTGACGGTATCGACGTTCGCGAATTGAACGGAGTATATTAACGTAAGATCTTATACCAACAACTTCTATAGTATTCGTTCCCCGTGTACCAAAGACAAAGTGAAACGCCACAAATGATCGTCCAAATTACGAGATATATTTCGGAACCAAAACGGATTACGAGTTGAATGCTTAACTGGCTAGTGATCGTGCACGCACGTGACACGACGGAGTACCAAATCGTATGGATGCTTGACCGGAAGCCTTCAGCTAAATAAGTCGACTTAAACAGTGAGGTTCAACATCCAATGATTTCATCCAAATGATTTATAACGATACAAGATCTTAGAGAACGCTTATTTCGCGAAATAACTCATCCGTCTTAAGTATGTACCTGCATACAAATACATGTTGACTTCAAATCAGCGTTCCCGCCTAGTTTACTAATGACTAAGTAAAGTGATGAATACAGATTAAATTATTTGTGTCTAATGAATATGTATTCCTAAGCTTAGTCTGGGACATCTGACTAGGCAAGTAGTGGTCTAGGCTCTTGACTTCTAACCACTTGGTTACTTTTCAAGAGTTGGGTAGACAGGTAGAACAATTAACCCTCACACAATAAGTGTTGTTCATCGCTAACTGAATAGAAATCCAAGTGGTCATTGGGTGTCATTTCTAGTTAAACATTCTTTGTTGTTTGGCTGATGTAATACTACAGAATGACTGTTAACACCACTGCTGTCCACTACCAGACAAGTAGGCTAAAAATTCTCTTCATTCTTCATTATCGTAGTAGATATTACTGGTCCACGGGATCCAGTGATTGTTAAATCAAAGAGTGAGAATGAAATTGTTGGACAGTGTATTCAAAATAGTTGAATTCGAAGCACAAGTGAGTCCTCATTTAAACAAAAAATATATTGACAAACAAGCCTACTCTTTAAATGGTGATGTTAAAATATGTAACTTACAGCAATGCAAATCCCCAAAAATTTTCAAAGCCAATATTTTCTTTTGGCACTGGATACTGATGCGCACAATGAAGGAAAGTCAAGCTATGAGGTAGTGAAGTTGTGAATGGTGACAAAATCTGTCACAAGGAGTTTTCGTGCACAGTATTGCACACTATACGGCAGATATTACGGCAGTGTAAAAGAGTTAATATGACGCCTTTGAAACACCCAAATGTAATATCTGACATGATTACAACAATCCCGCGAGCACCTAATACAAAATCACATAGGACCAACTACCGGAAGAAAGTCAAACCACAGCTGACTGCTTCTTTTCTGCCTATTCAAATGTATTCAGACATAGGTTATGAACTTACTCTTGGCGCATCATGAAGAACTTTTCAGACAAACTACAGACCTTCATGAACAGCCGTCTTAGATCAATACCCAAGAACAGATAGTCGGCTCGAAAAGATCAGCAACAGGAGCATCTGGCAGCGAGCCAACCAGGAACCAGTAGGACAACAAGTAAGCAGGAAGAAATGGAGGTGGACTGGTGGCTATACTCTGAGAAAACAAACCATCAGGTGAGTGACATCACACGCCACGCCATCGCTCGAGTGTAACTCGAATTGTAAGCGGCGAGTTGGTCGTCAGTGTGAGGGTGATATGGAGGAGGTTATGTGAACAGTAGAAGAGGAAAGCATGTGGGTAGACGTGGAGCCGGGTGAAAACGTTGGCAAAGAACCAAACGCAATGGAGACGTGCGTGGCTGAAGCCCTATGTTCCTCTAGGAACTAAAGGAAACAATAGTAATGATGAACTTACTCTGAAGCTGCATGGGATAAAATGTCACTCATTTCTGTCTGGGTGGCCTACATGTATGCCCTAACGCAGAGTTCAATATTTTAATTCGCAAAATACCCTTTTAGCGGTAGGTTATTCCCCAGAATTATTAGCCACATCATTCATCAATAAGCATTGGGTGCTTACCCTCACTGTTTAAGTCGATTTGCTAGGCGAAGGCTCACGGTCAAGCACCCACGCCATTTGTCATGCCTTCGTATCACGTTCTTTCTTTTGTGCACGATTCCCAGCTAGTTAAGCAATCATCTCACACCAAGACTTGGTCCCGGAATATACTGCGTAATCTGGACAGTCAGTTTTGCTGTTGTGCTTTGTCTTTGGTCGACGCAGAATGAATACTTCAGATGTTATGGGTGTTAGATCTTGCGTTAGTATAAATCATACTATCCGTGAAAATCAACACTCTCAGCACCTTAAGTTTTGTACAGATACGGAAATTTGTATGCGAACAACATGCCGGTCAAGCTGATAAAAGCGAGCCTGATGTTTCGCAGCATTCTGAGTTCCCGTGGTGCCCTACTGCCTCAAAAAGCGAAACAGGCAATTATCTTTGATAAGGATACGCTGATACTAGCCCTCGCGTCACGGTTGGTTGGATTGTGGAATCAAGAAGTTAAGTGAGAATGAGGTAGGCATACAGAGGATTCATGGACACGCTACAAATGCTTGTATTATTCCCTACTGAGGCCAGTAGGTAAATGACTTCCGGATCCTTTAAGTAATGCTGGCAGTTAACCCATTCCGTCATAAAATTTTGAAATTCTAGGCGAGGAAAAGGTTCAGGAACAGTGTGAGTAAGTGGAAAATACAGGCATTTCAAACGCAGATTCGAACAACTCGTTTAACTTGTGCTCTTTATCCAACATTTATATTGTAGTGGTAAAGAATTTCCCATAATTATTAGTCCACAGCGTTCCCAACTAAGCACTGGATGGTGACCACTGTTTAAGTCGACTTGTAAGGCTAAAGATAGGGTGTCAGGCATCCTAGTCATTTGGCTTACTGTCTTATTAAGTTCGGTCATTCTTGTATGATCTCATGCTAGTTAAGCAATCTTCATTCCAATTCCGGAATATATCTCGTTCAACAACATCACTCGCGCTAAAGTTAAACTGGTCATAGCGTACGTGAATAGTATTCTCAACTCCGGAAATTTTCATTGTAACGACAGCAGTATTTCCAGAAACCATTATTCAAATTGACCGTGAAAGATTTGAGCTTAATCACAATGACCTAATAGTAATTATCGCCTCATGCTTGCTGGCGAGTGGCTCTACTAAGCTGTCTATTAAAAAAGTAATATATGCAGGTCACGCCTGTCTTTAGCTTGGAGGAAAGCCACAGTTGTCCCAGCTTTTCAGCCAGTAGTCTATAAGTTCCTAGCAATAAAATGAACAATAAACGATGCACCACGCATAAACAACAATATTCTTGATTGTATTTTGACCCCATGGGTAACTTAGAATAAGGTCAGCCGACAGCTTCGAGTAGGCTAAGACAACCTCAGAATGGATTCGATCCCGTTCTCAATCCTGGTATTAAGAGGTCAGTGAATAGCCTACGGGCATCCCTGCTCTCCACATCGCACAACCCATTGCCGCATATCCACGACGTAACAAAAATCCCTAAACGGTACAACCATCTTTCTCAATCATCGAATTGGTCAGGAAGTACAACAAAATCCAAAACAAACCAAAAGATATTCCGAAAACAGCCCTCATTATGGATCTAAACGTTTCTGATTTAATACTGATTCTGTTCAGCCTTCAGATTGACGCGCAAGCATCCCAACTCCTTGTCGATCAACTATTTGGTAATTTAAATTTTGTAAAGGCATACTTAGATGACTTGCCGATAGCAAGTCCATACCAGGGGAACCAACCTTAGATACTTGAACCTCACAAGCAACAGATCCCAGTGGGTGCGTACTGCCGATGATTCCCAAACTAGGATGAAACAGCAGCTGTCCAGTACTCCCTGTGGCTGGTTTTCAATGGTTCTCTAACTGATATCAGTCCGTGATCAACTCGTAAATCATAACTAATCCTTACCAACCAAACTCACTAAGAAAGCTAGGGAAATGGAATGTGAGGTACGAACGTGTCTGGAATCAAGCAATATATTTGCTGTAGCCATAACAATCAGAGCCTAACATCATAAAAGGAGGGAGGGTGGCGCATGCTGATCAGTAGATATGGTGTTGGACACTAAGGTGAACCGCTCCATTCTGCAGGAACAGCAATATGCAATTTGATGGCTCGAGATTTCTATGAGGGCTTGAATCTTTATCTTGAATAAGATAATAATAATCGCCTGGACAGATCATGCTTATACCTTTAAACATATACCATTCGGTCAGCCTATTGCTGAGATGCGACCACGTGGGCTCTGCACAGATTTATGGGGCATCTTATAAATTGACATGCTTTCCTTTGTCGTATCTTCGAATATCACTTAACAATGTCTCATTTCATACATTTTCTAATAACGTCTTCACTTGCTCATTATACTCCACTAAACCTAACATTTTATAGCCCTTTATGAATTTGATTCGACTTATTTTATTCCTATTCTCTATAGGGTACGGTTGTGCACCAAACACAAAAAGGTATGAAATTAAAACAACCGGCTTGTGGATAATTGTATTAAACCAAAAGTGGACAACATGATAGTAAAACCTATAGGGTAGCAATATACATTGCAAAGGAACTTTGTCAGCCTAGGGATTATAGTCTCCCATTGTATTTCCTTTATGAATGCATATATTAGTGATACATTGCATTTACCTATTTCATTACACTTTAATGATTCACCTTAGCATCTACTTTTCTAAAACAGCTTACTATCCCTTGTAAACGTTGTACTTACCTCAATATTGGTTGGTTATCGTATGCCTACAACTACGGGTTGAAAACGAAATGAAGTCGATTTTCCTGCGCAACCTGGAGGACTACTGTTTAATTCAATAATGATACGACATGGGTC